GATGGGATGGGATGGGAGATCAGGCAAAAGCAAACATTCAGCACAACCAGGTCCCTTCAGTCACAGAAGAGAAGAACCACACACACAGAGCCAATAACAGCCAGTGTTAAAATGCGTTTGTGGCTCCAAACCAAACAGGACAAGGCTGCCCTGGGTGTGAATGCCCAGGAAATGCCTCTGCCCTGTCCTCCAGCTCAGCAGAGAAGCCTCTCACAAGCTGAAGTGAAGGGACAGCTCCTGGGACAGCCAAGTCCCTGAAACAAAGGCACAGAGTGTGCTGTGCAGAGGACACAGATCCCAAGCACACAGAGCTGCGGGGTGTGAGTGAAAGCCAGCCCAGCCCAGCCCAGCCCAGCCTCACCTCTTGGACTGGACAGTGTAGGTGAGGTTTCCTCTGGGGTACCTTGGTGCATCCCACTGCAAGGTGCTGTGAAGATTGACTGAAGTAATTCTCACGTTCTGGGGCTCTGGGACCATTGCAGAAACTGTGGGAGCAATCAGAACCAACATTTCAGTGTTTGTGCTCCAGCACGTGTCACTCATCCAAAATCTAAATGCAGCCTCTGCCTTGCCTTAGGTGCTTATTCAAAAACACAGCCCAAATAAATTAAATTTAAATCCTGATGCCTCTCCTGCCTCCTTATGCAACAAAGCAAATTACTGGCTCCACTGACTTCCAGTAAGTGCTTGTGACACCGACATTTCTGGGGCATGACTGAGCTGGTGCTGCCCAGCACTGGGGCATGAACTCTCCCTGAGATTGTCAAACCCCAGTTTTTCTAAGCAGTGCTCCAGCAGCACTGTGGGAACAACAAGGGCGTGGGGATTGATAAACTTCAGCACCTCCGAAGGTAAGAGAGCTATTACATATAATTAAATGTAATTAACTATCACTAACCAGCATTATTCACAAGTGACAAACCCCAATTGTTCTCCTTTCTTGGAACTGAATGAAAGAAACCCTAAACTAGTGTAAATATCAATGAAAAGCCCATAACTGTTATGACTTAATTATTCTTACATAATTGTAGGTGTTGAGACCAAAATAGCAAGGATTCCAGCCCATTACTGCACCACAAGTGAGCAACGCAAACAAACCCTGCCAGAACAGAGCAGTGTTTAATGTTGTCACAGGTGTCACAGCTGGTGAGAGACTCTAAGATAAATAACACATTTTCCATGTCTGTGCCTCACAGAATCATCAGGGCTGGAAGAGACTTCAAGGTCACCCTGTGTGACCCCAGCAGCCCACAATCACCCCTGAGCTGAGTCCCCAGCTGCTGCACAATTGAATGAAATCCCTGTGTCACTCACCCCTCTGGCAGGCCAGAGTTTGAACCTGGCTTAAACAAAACCAGTTCCAGACTCTGGTCCTAAAGTGTTACCCCTGCACAAATAAATAAATAATTCACAGTGCACATCACAAATACAGAGGTTCAAATCACACACTGGCTTGGGCTGGGAGGGACCTTAAAGCCACCCAGTGCCACCCCTGCCATGGCAGGGACACCTCCCACTGTCCCAGACTGCTCCAACCCCAGTGTCCAGCCTGGCCTGGGCACTGCCAGGGATGCAGGGATGGAATTCCATCCCAGCCTGCCCATCCTGCCAGGGAACAATTCCTCATTGCCAAGATCCCATCCAGCCCTGCCCTATGGCACAGGCAGCCACTCCCATTTATTACCCTGGCATTCCACCCCTTGTCCAAAGTCCCTCTCGTTTCTCGTGGGGCGCTGCCCCTGCTCTGAGGATGAGGTCTGAGGCAGGCATGAAAATTCCCAGGAAAAATCCCATTTCCTTGCCAGGCTCCCTGCCCTCACAGCGCTGCCTGCCTGAGCACCCTCCAGGTAAATTGCTTCATTGGGCACTGAGGATCCAAAGAGATCAGGAAATATTTCTGGGCTTTCAGGTTTGTGCACAGCCCTGCCAGCCCATGCAGTGCCAGCTGTGCCCCATGGGCACCTTGTGCCCAGCGCAGAGCACTCAGTGCCACCTCCAGGGCACACCTGCAGGGATGGGCACTGCAAAGCTCCCTGGGCAGCCCCTGCCAAGGCCTGAGCTCCCTTTCCATGGGCAAATTGCTGCTGCTGTCCCAGCTGAGCCTGCCCTGGCCCAGCCTGAGGCCGCTC